TTTACCGTCCTATAGTCGGTCCGGATAGGAAAAAACTGTGCCCTCGGTCTTGAACACGGACCTCGGCCTAACGGCCTCGGTCCGTATATTCAAGACCTCGGGCACAGTTTTTCCCTATCCGGACCTCCTGGCCGGTAAATAACATATATGTCTTCAAAAATATAGTAGGTATGATAAACAGAAAGAAAATGAGGTCCGGTCCCCCTGGATACACCTTTGGTTAGATCCGTCAAAACTCTACCAGATAAAAATTGCCATTGACGGGTTACCTGTTTCAGTGGTCACGTTCATGTTCCCGGATGCTGTACGTCGGTGCGTCTTGATCAGCGGTATTTGTTGGTGTTTCATGAATCGAAATTCCTGTAGAAAACAAATATTTAGATCCCCCAACCAATATTCCGATAACAAAGAGTCTCGGCAATCTGGGTATGTTATAAAAGCAATTAAAGCACGCGGTCAGAATGGAGACCGTCCCCTCTGTCACCAACTAGGCATTATCTAACACTTACCTGTAGATCCATGATCTTAAAGGAAGCCTTAACAGGACAGAGCTGCCAGGCCTCGTTCTCTAAAAACATTCTTAACTCCTCCATTCTCGACCTGAAAGGAAATGGCATCGAGACATAAATCATTTTTTTCTACGCAAGCAATATAACTTCTACTCTTTATAGAACACGTTACAGATCACCCCCATGTTAGTGAACCCAACTGAAATCCAGAGTCCAATAACACCTCTATCTGAATTTCCTCTCATAAGGATGAATGAATGTAGAGCTAATTTCGGCCGAGTGTAATGCCATGGCGACGATAAAAGAGAGAGCGTGAGACCGCTGCTCGTCCAATCAAAGTCCTTGGACACTGCAAAGTCTCCATCATGGCACGGCACAGCACGGAACGGCACGGCACGGAACGGCAAGTGCGTACAGTCTGTTATCAAAAGTAATACTATATGATCTGCTCCAGGTTATCAGTAGTTATGCTACTCACCTATGGTAATTCTTGAAGTATTTTACAGACTGTTTTCGAATTGACTCGTTGAGATCTTCTGATTTACTGCCACAGAATTCTTCACCAACCGATATCAATCTACAAGATATTATTGGATTTAACTCAAATGCGTATGTACTTGTAAATGCACTTGTAATCTGCCTAATATAACAGGCGTGTGTTGAGTGGTACATCCATATGGTCTTCAGAGATTCTATTTCCTGCATTTTTGAGGCATTTCTGCGTAAGCAACTGAAGTGGTACAGGAATAGTGTGCAGCATCCCTCCTCTTATCCAACCCCAAACAGTAACTGGATTGATTTATATTTACATCAGGGCATGGTCCCTTGATTACTCCCCCCCCCCCCCCCCCCCCCCCCAAAAATAAGGAGATGAAGTTTGGGATATGGAAA